TCCGCGCTGAGTCAGCTTAGCTACACTGACTTCAACTTGTTCTCTTCGCTCATTCCTCGCACGGACTGTGCCAGGCACAGGATGAAGGACGGTCACAGCCTGGGGTTTGGGGGCCCAGGCCCACCATCACCCCACAGAGCTGTCTCCTTGCGATGCTGAAGGAGCGTGGGGGTCAGGGTGGCCTGCTGGGCTAGGGGACCCCAAAGGACTCCTGGGAGGCCTGGAATAAAGTTTGATTTAGCAGAAGCCTGGAAGGAGTTGGATCAAATGTCCTCCACCCCCAACCCCAGACCAGCTGCCCTTCCTGCCCCTCCCTCCCCACGGCCCCGCCCCTCCTAGCGCCACAGACACACCACTGCTGCCCATTGGCTGCTGGAAGGTGTTTACCAGCAACGGGGCCCAATGGGGAGCCCGCCTTGCTCAGCCTCTTAGGGGCAGGTAGCACCTGTGGGAGGAGGGCTCCCCAAGTGGGTGCTGGGCCCAGAAGTGGGGTTTATCCCCTATTCTGCCTCTCCCCCAAATCTGGTTCAGGACCCGGGGTTTGGGGGAGGGGGGCGGTGCTCTAACCCAAGTTCACACCCCACCCGTGATCGGGGCGGGAACAAAGGCCTAGTGTGCCCTGGACAAAGGAGAAAGGTCCCGCTGGCCCTTGTCCCCTGCTGAAGCCTTGCTGCAGCCCCTGGGACTGCCACCATGGAAACCCCTCCTACACTCGTTAATTGCCCCCGTGGGTGCCTGGGACAGGAGCCATCGTCAGGACAACAGGGCTGGCTCCCTGTCCTGCTGCCCTTTCCCCTGGGCACCCTCCCAACAGGGTGGGAGGAGGAGGGCGGGGCGGGGTGGGCATGGGGAGTAGAGGAGAAAGCACGCCTGGAGTCCTGTCCTGCTTAGATGGAGTAGTGGCCGTTCTAACCCTAACCCTAATCCTGACTGCCCTGCCAGCCTGCTTGCCTCACATCTCAGCGCCCTGGGCCTGATTTCCCTCCCTGCATCCACAAGGCAAATGCCACCTCAGCCGGTGCCTAGCCAGGGCGGTCTGGGAGTGGGCCCAGAGCCACACTGCTCTCTGTGCATGGATGCACACACTCCGGTGGAGGGAAGAGCCGAACTACCCACTCACCAGCTGTGTGACCTTGGGCAAGTAACACCACCTCTCTGAGCTGCACTGTCCTCATCTGTCAAAGGTAGAGATTTGTAGCTGCTACTCACAGGGTTAAGTGAGATGCGACACAAAGGCCCTCTACGCAACACCTGGGACAAGGTCACTGCTACTGAGCAGCCTGCCTTCTGCCAGGCGCCCCTCGCCCAGCCTCTGGG